GGAAGCTGGGACGAGGCTGCCCCCTCACCTGCTGAGGGATGCTGGGGGGAGCTCCCTGGCACTCTGGACCTCTTACTAAGCTGGCCTCTGCAGCAGAGAAAGCTGGGCTGAGCACTGCAGCAGCTGTGTGGGAGCTGGGGTGGGAGGGGCATGACCCCGCAGAGTGGGGGCCCACGTGAGCAGGGCCTCGTCGGAGCACTGCCTGCCCATCCCCAGGGCCTGGCACGATGCTGGGCAGACGGGGATCCGTGCATGCCACATGGCCCAGGGGTAAGGGCCTGTTCACTTGCCTCTATCCTCCACTAGGCCATGAGCTCCTGATGGCCACTATTCACACCAGTTTGCCCTCATACCCAGGCACCCAGGGCAGGCCTGACAATCAGCAATAACAAACTCACGGGAAGTCTGTTGCCTGCATGATGCAACTAAATAAGCTTCTAATATAAAAGACCAAAACAGAGTCGGCCAGGGCAAGCCCGGGCCATCTTCAACTGGAGAAAGGTTCTAGATCTAAAACCAGCAGCAAGCGGACAGGATGGGGGCACCAGCAGTACGCCTACCCCTACACGCGTTGAGAGAGAGAACAGAAATGCTCCAGCCATCGCTACTGCTCAGTATTGGATTGAAGGTCTTAGCCAAGTCCTAAGGAAAATAAACAAAAGCTATAAACATTAGAAAGGAAAAGACAAGTTTGTCATTATTTCAGTAGAAAAACACCAGCATAGAAAATTGAGCAACAGATCTAGGAGAAACCCAGAACATAGCCAGTTGGCCGACCACAGTCAGGTAAGCCTGGGAAGCCCGTGTGGTTGGTCCACAGGTGGCCTTGGTGGGAGACTTGCCAGCCTCGTCTCCTGCAGGCTCAGGCAGTGTGGTTGCCAGCAGTACCTCAGCCCCAAATGCCCTGCCAGGAAGCTCAGGGATGTAGACAAGGTGCCCAGGTGGGGCCCAGCCCCCACCTAGATCTCCCCCAGCTTGCTGTGTGATTCTGCGCCTCAGCTTTCTTTTCCATGAAATATGGGCACAGTTCTCAATCTCCCATGGGCTCCCATGACTTAGAGACAGTGGCTGGACCTCCAAGACAGGGGGACACCTCACATGCCAGCAAGGTCCTCATCTGGGTCCCAGAGCCTAGAGGTCCCCGACCCAAGGGAGGCCCTGAGCACAGGCACGGACCCACAAGCTGATGTCCAACACCTGCGCACAGGCATGTGCCTGGGGTACACACATGCAGAGGCATGCAGGTCTCTACGATACACATGCGTGATGTGGCCTGGCTTCCCCAGAGCCTAAAGCTTCCCACAGCCCCGCACTGCTGTCCAGAACAAGCCCAAGACCCAGCCAATCACTGGGGGCCAGTCAGGAGTCCATGTCCAAGTCCACCAGCTTCTCAAGGACAAAGCCCCACCTGAACCACCCACCCCCTTGGGCTTGGCTGACAATTGATGCCCAAAGCTTGTGGGTGGGCCTGGGGACAAGAGGGGTGACAGGACAGATAGGACCTCAGTTGCCCCTTCCCTGAGCTTGGAAGGGAGCCTCAGCCCTCAGCAGCCGGGGCCCCTCATGGAGGATGCTGGCAGGAACAGAGGACTATCCCAGATGCTGGGTCCTCACATGACCCTGAATTCCACCCCGTGCAGTGGCCCCAAGGGGAGGCTGAGGTGCTGGGCTCTGGCTGTGACTCAGCGGAAGGAGGACAGGAAGGGGGTGGTGCTGGGCCCTGGGGTTTTGCTTCTCATTTCTTTCTGTCCAAAGCAGAACAAGTTCCCAGAAGTGAAGGTACCCAGAATGACAGAAACCCCAGGCTTGCAGGGGCACTGGGTTCCCCAGTCCTCCCACCACAGGCCCAGGGAAGCCCCCCAATCCCTGTCCCCTGCTTGGGGCTGTTTCCCTGCCCCAGAGCCAGGAATTGAGTTTACGGAAGGAGCAGACTGTAGGCAGAGACTTTCCAGGTGCACAGGGCCCAGACCCACTTGCTGGCACAGATGTGGGGGACACCCAGGATGCAGGGGTGGGGCAGTCAGGGTGGGCTTCCTGGGAGAGGCAGAGGCTTCCTCCACCAAGAACCCCTGGGGTGGGCAAATGCCCTCAGAAGGTCGTTCTCTCTCAACCCTCCCTCTTTCTTTCATCTTTTCAACTATTGAAAAAAAAAAAAAAAACAATTTCCAAAACCACATACAGACTCAAATGAGCACAACCCCAAATTAGGACACACCACAATCCTCCGTGTATGTCCAGAGACTGGGTTTGTGCCATCCTGTGAATGGAAGAGACTGCGAGATGGCCTTCAGAAACACTGGCACCGTTTGTCACCACCTGTCTGTGAGAATCAAGGGTCCCCTGGTCTTGTGCCACCAAAATCAAACCCTTAAAGAAACCTGACACCGAGGCTGACCTAAGGCTGCAGCCCTCCTACCAGTCCCCAGGTCACGTGTGTGTGTCCACAGTTGTTCCTGACAGATGCACCGCTAATAACAGGTTGAGAATCTGAACTTAGAAAATACTATTTGTTTCAGATGCTGAGTTTATGCTTTTTAAAATCTGTGTTTGAGTTCCCCACAAAACTCGGTTTGAAAGAATGTCCTCCTTGACTCTGGGGGGCTGGGCAGGACGAAGGGCAGACCTGTGGCTGCCCGGAGCTGGGGAATGTCTCAAGGGTTTCAGGCAGGACACCCGACCCCTCGGCCTGGGACCTCCTCCTGGGACCTCCAGGGCCTGGGGGCCACCCGCCCGAGCACCCAGAATCTCCCTTCACAGAGGGCGCCTTCACTGCTCCCCTACAGCCTTTCACGCCCTCTGCCAGGCTGCTCTGCCACCCGGTGAAAGTTTGGATGCCAGGAAGGAAGCTCGCCCCACACCTGGTGCTTCTGTTCAACTCACCACTTTCCCTTTCGCCCTGGAAGCCTGTGTCAGCCCTGCAGGCACCTGGGGCACCTGCATCCCTCCGGGAAGTGAGGCCCTGAGCTGCAGTCCGCCTCGGTGGCCCGCTTGCCCCACTTGTAACTGGGATGGCATAGGACTGGGTTCAAACCCCAGGGGGTATTCTACCTCCTGGCTATGTGGCGTTAGGCAGGTTAAGACTCAGTCTCTCCATCTGTCTAGCGGGCCACGGACACGCAGACATGCAGACACAAGGCAGACATAGGATTTGTGACAGAGTATGTGGCACCTGGCACTAGCTTGCACATGGAGATACCGGTGGTCCTCCCAACGCCACTTCAAGGGCTTCCTCTGGGCTATGTCCCTATGTTGCCACATCTGGAACTCCAGCCCCACATTGCCTGGCCATGCCCCTGGGAGGCCCTGAGGGATCCCACCCTCTCAAGGTACACCCTTGGTGGACCTCTGCACGGAGCTCTGCAGAGGGCAGCCCAGGACCTAGCTATGTTGACCTCAGTGTGCCTGACAGTCAAATGGGCAGCTTCTCTTCCAGTCCAGCTGGGCTGACCCATTACTGCACCCTGCTGAGCCTTGGTTTCCCCAACACGGAGATGATGAAAAACCAGTCTAGAGGTGTGTGCAGGGATTAATAAATGCACAGCAGTGCTTGGTGCCCAGTGCTCGACAGAGCTTAGGAAATAACGGCAAGGAGGTGCGGTGGGGGCGGGGGGAGGGTGGAAGGCCAGGGCTTCACTCGCCTGAGAGGCCCGAGGGCCCGGCGCAGCTACAGCTCCGGGCCTCTCCTTGCTTACGGCTCTGCCTCACACCGACTTCCAGGACGGCAGAAGGACTGGCTGCCTCTCCCAGCACACAGCACTGTTCCTGGAAAGCCAGGCAGGGTGGGGATCTGCTTCTGATGAAGGGCCGGCAGCTGAGAGTCAGAGGGGAGACCTGGCTTGGGCCCGGCCTGCCTGCCAAGCCTCTGTGCTCCCTCCAGCACAGTGATCTCTGTGGGGCCTGCAAGCCTGCTGCCCCGCTCAGCAGGGTGGGATGTCTGGCCTCCCCAGTCCCCTAGGCGCACACCACAGGCCAGGGGTGCAGGCCCAGTGTGGTGGGACCCCTGCTCCGAGAGCAGTCTCTGGGGGAGACCCAGCTCCTGGCCAGGCCTATCACAGGGCAGAGCTGCTCTGAGCCATGCCCCGGGCTCAGGGGCTGAAGGGGGATCCCTTGGTGCGCCCTCTGGGAACTATAAAATTAGCCTTTCCCAACCGTTTTCCTGCAGGGTGGTTGGAGTATCTTTGGAAGGTCTCAGAATTTGAAGCTGTCACACATCTGATACCTGGTTATGAGGCCAAAGATGCCCAAAGGTCCCTTGGGGATACGTAACCAGTTTGCTCAGAGTGGGAGGAACTTAGTCGCTCTGCAAGGTGGGAACTCTGCCCCCCTCACCACGATCTGTCAGACATGCGGGTCAGGGCCTCGGCAGGCCAGGTTTCCAGGTGGGGGGCTCCCACCCCCAACCCCCCCACCCACAGCCACCTCAGCTCTCAAGGGAGAGGTGTGCCAAGCAATCCATCAGGCACTTCAGCATTCTTCCAGCTTCGCCCACTTCCAGCCACTTCCATTTTTAAGTATCTTTCAAGCATTTCACTTCAATTACCAAAAACGTGTGTTGGTTTCCTATGGCTGCTGTTAGCTAATTACCCCATAGTCTTCATTGTATGGTTCTAGAGTCAGAAATCCAAAACCAGTTTTCCTGGCTAAAAATCAAGGTGTTGGCAGGACTTTGCTCTCCCCCCCTCCTACAGGGCCCAGAGGCTGTCTGCACTCCTTGGCTCACGGAAGTCCCGCACACTGTGGCACTCCGGCCTCTGCTTCCGTCCCACATGGCCTCTTCCCTCCGCGCTCCCGCCTGCCTGCTGTGAGGACACCTGTGGCCTACCCCAAGCCCACCTGGATAACCAGGATGATCTTCCCATCTGAAGATCCTTACGTCCCCCTTTGCCATCCACGTAAGAGAACATACAGGTTTGGGGACTGAGGACATGTCCCTGGGACCAGTATTCGCCTCCCCAGGAGGCAGGGTGCTCGGCCAGTCCCAAGCTCCAGCCAGGGCTTACCCAGGACTGCTCTGGCCCACACTCTGGCTGGGAGCTGGCTGGGCTGAGCTGCAGGGAGCCTCGCGCAGCCCCCACTGCCGCCCAGGACAGTCTGTACTCCTGGTGCAGCTGCCGTCAGAGATCAGGTGCACTTGAGCCCATGGGGTGGCCACAGCTCTACCCAAACAGCCGCCGGGCATGAGTGGGAGGCCAGGCCCTCACAGCTCTCTCCCTGCTGACCAGAACGTGGGAGCTGCTGTCAGGTCATATGAGCCGTGGGGAGCACCAGCTCCACTCTGGAAAATACTCCCACTGTTGGCCTATTGGTGGGTGTTTGCTGAGCCTAGGCTTTGCCAGACCCGCATGGGGCCCATGAGGGAGACAGGACGGTTTCCAAATGCACCAGGCAGAATGTCAGCGTGGTGAAGTTTGGGCTGGGGGCTGCAGGGAGAACAGGGCATTTATGCTAGGGCTTGGAGGGGCAACTTGGATGGCAGTGGTGGTCAGGGCATTCCTGCTGGCCATGCTGCCTGGGCAAAGGGAGAAGGTATGTTAGGGAGCGGAAGGTTCTGTAGGGAGTGGACAAAAGAATCCAGAGGGGGATGAAGACACGCTGGCCTGAGAGGTTAGCGCAGTTCTCAGCCTGTCCAGAGGTGCCCTTTGTTCTGACGGAAGCCCACTCAGAGGGTGACAGGGCCTGAGGGGTCCCCGAGGGCCTTTCCAATAGCCGTCTTCCCCCACCTCCCCAGGCCTGGACTCTGCAGGACCCAGAGACCACACTCCAATCACAGAGGGCCAGCCAAGAGTTTAGGGTAGGGAATGGAGGCAGTTAATGGCCCAAGTGGGGAGGGGGGGTGGAAAGGGCTTGGGGACACATGTCAATAAACCAGGCAGATGGCCCCATGGAGAAGCCACGGGCAGCTAAGAAGCATGCAGGTGTGAGGCAGCATTTCCCCAGCCCCCGGCTGCCGGGGAATCACGGGTGCGCACAGCACACCGAGGGACTCCGCCTGCGCTCAAGGCCCTGACTGATGAGGGCTGGCGGGCAGCAGGCACCTCCCTCAATACTTCAGGGGCCCGAAGAGCCGGGAGTCCAGCGTCAGTTTCACGTCCCCCTGCCATCCCACCCCTGGGGCTCCAAGCACACTCTAGAAGGGGCAGCTCACACCTGACTCCAGGCCCAGGGAGGAGGGAGGGCACGCGAGCCTCGCTTCCCCAGAGTTGGGGCCCCTGGGGGCTGTGGCTGGGCCTCGGGGCACTCAGGCCCTGGTGAGGAGGGAGGGGACCGAGGGGAGATGTGGGTTGTCAGCCTGCCAGTCTCGCAGGGGCTCCACCTCCACAGGACAGAGAAGTCAAGAGCCCAGACTGAGGCCCGGGCCTCCCCTCCTTTCCGGACTGCTGTGCCTCCTCCTGCCTCGTGTTGGTGTCAAGCACCAGACAGGTGCACAAGGGCCGTGACGACACTCACAGTGCCCCATGGAGGGCGCACCCCAGAGGGGCCTCACAGCCATCTTGTCAGATAAAGCATGTGGCCCGTTTTCAGGCTTGGAAGCCAAGGGTGAGGGAGGTGGGGTCATCTGCCCAAGGTCACACCCTGGGGAGGGGCAGATGCCCGATCTGCACCCAGGCTGGTGTGGCTCCAACACAAGCTCAGCACCCATGGCCTCATCAAGGCAGCGGCTGCAGGGGGCTGCCCACCAGTCCCCATGGCTTGGACCTCTCTCCCACAGGAGGCAGGAAAGGGAGTCGTCCCCAAGCGTGGCTTCTGTCTGTGAGCCCAGCTGCCCCAACACTGCCACTCTCCATCATGCCATCATTATGCTCTGGGGTGCTGAACCTACACCCTTGCCAAGCCCTCTCCTCAGTAATGGGTCTGAGGCCAGGGGAATGAGGCCATTAGGGTTGCCAGCCCTGGCTGAGGTGTGGGCCAGGCTGTGGGACACAGGGGCAGCTGCTCTGAGACTCTGCCGCGGATGGCAAGTGCCCAAGGGCACAGGCAGGGGAGGAAGGCGATACTGGGTGGGCACAGCAGACAAGAGCCTGAGAGCACAGGGCTGAGAGCCGGGGCCTCGCGCTCGCCCACCTGCCCTGCCCTCCCATCTCCCTTCCGGAGTGGCCCTCAGGCGCAGTCTCTGGCTCCTCCTTGGAAGAAGCCAAGCAGCTTGGTATACATGCAGCTGGGGCTGGGCAGGGGCAGGATCCTGGGGTCCCTCTGCTAAGGCAAATGCGACCCCTAGCTGCAGCAGGGGTGCCCCTTGGGGAGGTATGACCCCAGCAATGTCAACTCCCTGAAGGCGGGACTGACCTCCCATGCCCACTCGCCCACTCCGGCCATGGGACCGCAGGCAGGCCACGTTCTCTGGGGCAGCCCCGAGTTGGAATGGGCACAGCAACACGCCCCACCTGAGAGCACCCTGAGGCTGCCACCTTGTGCTGGCCTTGGAGCCTGGGGAGCCCGCTTCTCACAGGGAGAGGGGCTGCCGGAGGGCCCGCAGCAAGGTAGCCCTGAAGCCCAGCATCCTGGCTTCAGCAGAGGACGCTGTTCACCGGACCACATGCCTCTGGCCACCACACCACCAGGCCAGGCGCATGAACGCCGGGGCTGGGGTGGGGGAGTCCAGCACAGAGAGCCAGCCTGGAGGCTTCCTGTCATGGTGGACAGAAGGCCTGGCTGGGCCGCTGGGCCTCCTGGCAGGCACGTGTCTGCACAGACACAGCAGGGGGGAGGCCACAGCCTGGCGCCCACCGCCTTGGCTTGTCACTCTCCCGGCCCCAGCCAGGGACAGGGGTCACCCGAAACTCCAGTGAAAGCTATGGAAGTATGTAAATAAAGCCCTCCTTGCCCCTTGCGGGCTCAAGCCTTCAGTAAAATCAATGCGGACACGTAACCCAGAACTGTGCAGCAGGGACCTGCAGCCTATGCCCTCCAGGAAGCAGGCAGCCACTCGAGCTGCAGCTGTGAGGCCCTGCACTCTACAGCCAGGACCCGGTCAGGGAGGTGTGCAGCCCGCCCAGGGCAGTGGGGGGCTCTCTTCTTAGGAGAGGGCCATTTGCTGCCGGGGCCCGGAGGGGCACCCACGAGTCTCTCTGTACTGCTCTCCCAGGCGTCCACTGGGCAGGGCCCTGCCGGCCAGCCCCCAGCACTGCCCTGGGAACATAACACTGGGCCACTATTTGCCAGTCTCTTGACACTTTATTGGTCGCATCTCCCACCATCCCCACAGCAGATCTGCCAGAGAGGCTACCCTTGGCCACTCTGACTGACAGAGCCAGACTGGGAACCTGAATATGCCTGGCTCCCGAGCTGAACAGGGGGTGCCCCTGCTCTCCACACCGGGAGGGATGTGCCTGGCCTTCCTTCCACCCCATCTCCTAGAAACGTATAGCACGGGGCACCACAGAGCCGTAGGAAATGCCACAAGCACCTGTGGTTCTGGAGGGGCCCCCCAGCCTCCCCCAAGCAGCATTCCAGGAGGAAGCGTCAGGCAGGGCCTCTGGCAGGCTGGGGCCCTGGCCAGGCACCCACAGGGCAGCCACGCTGTGGCCTGGACCTCCAGATATGCAGGAACCGGGGCCTAAGGAGACAGGGACAAGGAGCCAGTTACTGCCTGCGCCCCAGGGGGCGGGTGGGGCGTGGGAGCAGCACACCCTTCATAGGCCAGAGCTGCGGGTGGCCTGAGTGGAGGGACCAGCATGGCGGGGGCTCGGGGGCAGGGGCCCTCACCTCCCACAGAGGTCCCTGCGCACAGCCACGAGATGGAGAGGCAGGTCGGGCCGGCTCTGAAGCCAGCTGTCGACGAGCTCTGGGTGTCTCGGGTCCACTTCTAAGAAGACGCTCCTACGAGGGAGAAATAGGTTGGCTCGCCAAGGCCACGCGGGACCTGCACCTCTGGTTTGCCTGGGCTGGGAGGGGCAGGGGCAGATGACCGCCAGGGCAGGCCCGGTGCACGCGGGGAGGGGAACAGCTGGGCCAGAGCCCGGAGGCCCGCCCTATCCATACCCAGAGTCCTTCAGCAGCCGTGACGCCAGGGCCAGGATGTGGGTAATGATGTCCATGCCCTCCTCCCCACCGTCCAGGGCTACCGGGTCTTCATAGCTGCAGGGGGAACAGCGGGAGGTGAAAGCCCTAGACAGGGGTGCCGAGAGTGCGGAAGAGCTGCGCGCAAGGTCTGAGGACCCAAGGGAGGAGGCCCCCCAGACGCTGGTGGCCGATCCCCTTGCCTCCCACAGCGCCCCTCCAGGGAGTACTGGGCATGACTGGAGCTGGCCCCAGTCCCTCCGGAGAGCTCAGAGGGGGGCGCCAACACCCTGCCCCCACTACTGCTGCCTCCTCCAGGGCTCCTGGGTCACCCCTGGGTCTCAGCCCTCCTGAGGGAAGGGTGGCTCTGTGCCAAGCCTGGAGTAGGGTCTCAGTCCCAGCTTCCTGTAGCCCCCCCCGACAACCCTGGGTGGGGCACTTCCCCTCCCCAGGCCTCGTCTTCTCTAAGGGACGCACCCATCAAGCACGTGTCTACTCCGTGTGGCCTCTGATGTTCCGGTCATCAGGGAGCCCTCCCCACAGCCCTGCAGGCCCACCGCTCCCCTCCGAGGTCGGCGCTCACCCCGCGGTCTGAGGCGGAGGGCAGAGCTGCACTGGGCATGTCCTTGCTCTGGGGTGAGCCTCTTAAAACACCTCTGCCCGCTCCAGCCCCCACCATCCCTCCCGGTGGCCCCCAGGGCAGACCCGTCCCCAAGGCTTCTCAGGTCTGGCCCCCTGCTCCACCCTGCCTCCACACCTGAGGATCTCGGGGGCCAGCTCCTCCATGTCCCGGTGGAAGACGTAGGGAGGGTTGCTGACGACCAGGTCCATGGGGCCCCAGGGCAGAAGGTGCATCCAGCTCCCCTCTGTGGCCAAAGGGAACACGCAGCAGAGAATGGAAGGTAAGCAGTGGCAGGCCCATGCCACCATGTCCTTCTGGCAGTCCCTCCCCAAGCCACACTTGGACCTGTCAAGCCAGACTTGCAAATTAGTGCCCAGGGTCCCCAGCCACAGCCTAGCCAGGAGTATGCATGCTGACATGGCAGCTCTTCCCCTTTAATGTCCTTACCCTTTTCTGCCTGTCAAACCCTCAAGAAGCAAGGCCCAGCTCTAGCACCACCTTCAGAAAGCCCTCTCTGATTGCCTAGAAAAGCGAGAGCCTCTGTCCTTGGCAGCCCCAAGGGCCCTGCCACACTCCGCCTCGTGGCCATCATGCACTG